TTTTGTACAAAATCTGAATAGGATTTATGAGGTAAATGTTACTATGTAGCTTTGGAATCAATGGAATATAAGTTTCCCATTAAATCTATTGATTCTCTCAGTTTATAATGAAACTTGTATGAAGATCCTGCCCACTGCATGATACAGAGGCCTGTCAAACTAGACATGATCTTGCTCAAATAACAGCACTACACACTGAAAGGTTATACCAGGTTTTATATGAGCGTATACGAATGAGATGCCACTATGCATCTTAACTCAATGGGAACTTTAGACACCGGTGTTTGCTTGGGTTAGGTCTGGGTCAGAATAGAAGACTTTAAAATGTGACTCTCTTTGGCATGATTTCCAAATCAACTGGTTCCTTACTAAATTAAGTTGCTAAATTAAGCACTTAAAATTTGCACCAACTATCCAAAATATTTAATGGAAGCTACTTATTTTTTAAATTCTATTTGTTTTCCTCCAACACATTTTTATGAGATTCCTGCTTCTTCCCGTTAGTCGAGAAGAGGCAGAGTTCAGATGGTTGACTAATCTACATGCCACAAACAGAGGTCTGGTCTAAGCAGGGAGGTATCTGGGTAGAGACAGTTCCAGAAGAAGGGGGCTGGGTGTTTGGAGGAGTGTTCACAGCAAGCAGGGGAAGAAATCCAATATTATGTGAACACTTACAGTATAAAAATCGCTGAACTCCAGCAGAGGGTTTGTGGATGAGCTGGAAAGGCATTTTCTAGGGATCCTTGATGCTTTTCATTTGTCCTCTACTTACTGAAAAACTGTAGCCAGCATCTGAAATATTATGAGTAGGATCTACAACCTGTTTAAATGTTTTCCTCTTTTATCTTAAACTGCAACTAGAACAATACCTTTTATTTGCACTGCATTAATTTCAGACTCTTAAGTACATCATAAGCCTTAAGAAATATGGACCAAACTCCTTGCTGGAGAAGCCACTTTGGAAAATGTGTTCTCATGAATAATCCTGCCAGCAGCAGCGTGGTAGACAAATATCAAGCTGCCAGATCTAAGTGAGTTTCCTTAGAGAGGGAAGCAAAGGTATAGACAGGTTCTCTTTGGACCCTACAGAAGAAAGAGGTTCAAAGGCAGTTAGAGCTCAAGAGTTTCCAGCTTCCCTCTGTGGATTAGATCACTAGGAAACATGATTAAAAGAAATTGGCAGTTGAGGGCACACACTGAAAAAGTGTTTTCTAGGGATAATTCCACCTTTTCCTTATGCTACATATATAATGGTAGCACTCACCACACTGGTAAGAGAAAGAGGAGAAAAATCTGTGCTTCAGATGACAGTGGGAAGAGAGGTTTGTCCCTGTCACTCTCCTGCTAGAATTCGTATTTACACCTAACAGCTTCAGGAGAGCTTTTGTGATTTGTATTTTCATGAGGAATCATTCTAGAAAGCTCTCAAGGTTTACTCTTAAGGACTGAATTAGTCTCTTTAGCTGAGCCGAAGCTTTATTTCTAGCTCAGAGCCGGGGTGTCGTTTTCTCCTCCAAGCCTTCACAGGTGTATCCTGATACAGAAATGTTTGGCCTCCAAAATCTTTTCATGCATGCAATTTTGTCGTTTGGGTGATTCTCCTACACAGAACATGTTGATGCTGACTCATGGGCAAAAATGGGGGAATGGAAAAAAAAACCTCACAGAGAGGTGCCTTCAGATGTACCTTCAGCGGCTGCGCTCCAGGGGATGCAACCGGGATGGCGAATGCTCCCTGCAGCCTGCAGAGATGACACTGTCACACCTGAGCATCTCTGGGACAGGCTCCAAAAATCAGCAGCTCCTCGTGACACCTCTCCTGTCTGAAAACTCTTTGTTTACACAGATTAGGGACAAATCATCTCTATATTTGCAGCGATTCTTCATGCAAGCATGCAGCAACTGTATGTCTACCTGTAAATGGAATCTTTCTGATTATTTTCTGCTTTTACCCATGTTTTACAAGTCTCCAGTTTACTGTCACACAAGTAGGGCTTTTGTTAATCCAGCAGCTTCTTTCTTGACTCTTTCTTTTCCAAGTTCTTACATTCAGTCAGTCTTGCATGTAAATCATGCCAAACTCTCAGGCAATGGGTGTACATACAAATACTAAAGGTCATGTAGAAACTATGCTTCAATACAGCAATAAAACCAATGCTGCAAAAGAAAACTCTCTGTGTGATTTTCTCACACAGATGTTTTTGCACAATGTTGCATAAATGCTGGATTTTTTTTTTGCATTTGATTTTTTTTGACTTTTAAAATGAAGAACTCTTAGTCCATTGATAGTGTAGGATAATTTTCTTTAGATCTACAATGAAGATGTGACAGTATGTGCTGTTTAAGCATCTGATCTGCAAACTTCAGGATTTGCTGACAAGGTTTGTTAACAGTTCTTAGGTTAGGCTCTGATTGACTCAAGGATGATGAATAATAATAGTGAATAATAGAAGTTTTAATAATATTTCCTAAAGAACATAGAATCATAGAATCATAGAAT